CCCCAAAACCCCAAAACCCCAAAACCCCAAAACCCCTCTTCTTGTAGGTAATTGAAATATGGGGCCAACTGTCTCATGAGTCTTAATTTTACACAGATTTAGGCCTTTTGAAGAATAGAGAAGAGCGCAAATGGTTAGTCCATAAATTCTTGAGCATATTTGGAGAGCTAAAATTGGAAAGTCGATCATTGATATAGGAAGGACTATGATGCATTGGGACATTAACACAGCATAGGCATGTTTAGAAGGATTTAGTATTTCGAAATCATCATCTGAGACTTCGTTTTAAAAATATCTAAAGAGCTACAGATCGTGAGTATCCTTGCCTTAACCCAACCCATCGAGCTTGATTCTATCACTGAGATGCTATCCTAACCTATAAGTTTGCAGGATTCCATTGGGAAACTATTCCACAGATTCTGATAAAGTTTAAACCTTCCCACACAGTACTATTCCTAATATTCTTTATAGGGAAAACTTATTGTCAGAGTCTTAATGATGAAACTCCTTAAGACTGACTGATCCTTCTGAAGACTCTATGAAGTTTACGTAGAGTGACCTGAGCTTGGATTCGATATCATACACAATCGTGGTTAATTCTTCCTTAATTCTATAGGGTTTTCTGCTATCTTACCTAGCTATAAAGGAAGTTTAGGCTGTTTTTGACCAATTTAGAGTAAAAATGTATGGGGGTGCTCACAAACTTGAGCATTAGAGCTTAATAATCTTTAAGCTTGTCGAAGGGCTTCCCCGTGCACAGACATAGCAAGGCAAATTGATTGTAATAAGATAGCCTTACCTTTAGCTTCTTTGATTTCTTTACGCTTGAAGTAGTTTTGGGTGACTGAGTCAAAGAGTAATGCTTTAGGCCCATTGTCAAGGTGCTGTCTTTCATCTTTCTTAAGTGCTTGTAGTTCTTTCTCTGCGAGTTCTTCTAACCTGAGCTTGTACCTACCCAATATGTCTATATCAGTGAGGTATCCGATATATTTAATTTCAAAGACCATGGCAAGTCACGACTGAATTCTCTTAATCATTTGATCAATATCAGAATTCTTGAAAAACACTCTTGCTGCTTCTTTCATATTCTCAGTCTCATCCTGAATTATATCAGAAAGGACTTTAGACGAACTCATTTCTGTTTTCTCTCTGAAAATATTGGGGTAATCTTTCTCAATCAGAGTGGTGTTACTCCCTTCGTAGATAAAGTCAGGAGTGTCAGAGTCTGAATTTGATCAAGTTTCTATACTTACCTCCAATCTTCCTTCTGATGACATACCTTCTCCTAAGTTGGGACATATACTGTGAGAATTCATTCAGAACTTGGGAGCCCTTATCCTTCTCAAAGGGGTCGACTACATCTTCAAGTTCAAAGTGATCATTCGAGATGTTCTAGATATTAACTGAAGAGACTACTTCTTTGATCAAAATGGGAGAATGTATCTTTGACTTCTTTGGGCTGGGAGCCTCCACTCCGAAAATTTTGTTGCGAACTGGCAGTTCTTCAGGAGGTATTTCTCCAGGACGAATGTATTCATATCTAAACTATTAAGGAAGCGCTTACTTCTCCTCTTGTTCAGAAGGGCTTTCGTAATTTTGCTCGATATTTCTTCTCCGAAATCTGATGGCCCGAAGGAATTTCTTGGAACTTATTTTTCGTGCTCTTTGAAATCTTTTAGGTCTTTTAATTTTATTTAAATTTAGGGTTTTGCCAAAGCTTAGATTTCTCTTCCGGAGTACGATTGCGCAGGTATTGTTCTAAACAGATATGAATAAGCTCCTACCTCTTCTCTTGACTCCTGAACTCCAGCTATCTTCGATAAGATCTGCAGTAAGATTCTTTTTCTATAAATTGGGGGTAAGATACGAAATTGGGCTTAAGAATACCGTTTCGTTCATTAGTTTTGTAACTTCTCTTTTATAGTCATTTTGGTAAACTCTATTTATACTTTCTGAGCTCAGTCTGAGGTAAGACAGGCTTTGAAGAACTCTTAGAGTACTTCTTGGCTGGCTCTGGCGTTCTTGTCAACATCCTGGTAGCTTTGAGCAGTCTAAGAGGTTTCTGTAGTCTAAATTTTGTAACTCCATTTTTTAAAAATGAGTAACCTACCTGGTTACTTTTCTGGGGACTGCTAAGAACTCATTTTCCCAGATAGAGTTTTCTTTAATTTTCTTTGATTTGGCCTACAAATTATTCAGTTTTTGGGTCTTGACTTTGAGAAGAGATTTTATGCAGAAAAATAACGAATTAACTTTATCTTAAAGAAGGGAATAAAACTAAGAGAAATTGCTATGAGACTTAAAAGTTATCATTTAAAATTACAAATTTACCTTTTGAGGCGACTTTTTAGGACTGAAGTAAGCAGTCTTGCTCCCTTTCAGAGTTATTGAATCAAAGAAATTAGTATTGGATGATCTATATAAAATATAAATATGAGACCTTTTTATGTTCAGAATTTAGATTTAAAGTTGGCCCAACATTTGAAACTTCATCAGAACTTTCAACTCTCACTCAAGATGGTTGATATAGTCTATAATTTCCCAGATAGGCCCATACTAGTACCAAAATATGATCTTTTCTAATTTGGTTTGCCTAATTTGCTCTTACTTCCTCATATTGGAATTAACTTTATAAAAGGTGTTAAAATATAGAAATCTTTGGCAAATATGGGGTTTTGGGGTTTTGGGGTTTTGGGG